GAACCCAGAAATCTGCATTTGTAACAAGCCCTTCAAATAATTCTAATGCAGGTGGTTCCTAACCCACCAACTGAGAAGCAGTGACCCACAGAGTAAGGATTTCTAGAACAATATTGAGACTAGTATGTTGTTTCTGGAAAAAATGAGAAAGTTTTTCCACTAAAGTTGCCTTATCTTTCTGGGGAAGCCTCTAGAGAACTCACTTATTAATGAAAAATGGGTGCATCTCAGTATGAACAGTGAGCTTTGTAGTATTTTAACTTGCCCTCTTCCTATCCTCCCCCTCCTTGGTGGAGGCCTTGAAAACCAGCAGCCTGCGATGATGGTGAAAATTAGCCGTCTGGCAGCCATGAGAGGGGGTAGACAGGCATGAACTCCTGTCAAGCCTCATTCCTAAGGATTGTCATTATCTGACCCATTAGCATTCCTTGGAATACTCCACTTACAGGGCTGTCTTTATTAGACCTGACTTAGAACTTGCTGAGTTGTAAAGTCTTCTCTCCAGGGACATTTGTATGAAATGACAAGAGGCAACTGTTTAACTTCATGGCTTCCCAAGGCACTGGATAATAGTTGGGGCAAAATGGACTAATTAAAAAGTTTGAAAAGAGAAGCTTAGGGAAAACCAGCTTCTCGGTGCCATTTTGTCTCAGTAGCAGTGGCTGCAGCTCTATCGCCTTTTAAGCTTCTGGTGTAAAAGGAGTGGAGTCTTTATCAAGTAGATTTATTTCGGTGGGACACCCAGATGCAATTCTTTCTGTGACAGCGCCAGTCATTATTGGAGGAGTCACAGAGCTGTCTGAAAGAATCACTGTTGACCCATGGCTTCACTAGAAGAAAAAGTAAATTGTGTTCTTTGGTTGGCTGAACTAAAATCTACCACTGTTGCCCAAAGAAGATTTAGAACCCATTACAAGAAAGATGCACCACAGAGGAATTCCATATCTAAGTTGATGAAAAAATTTGAAGAAACAGGTTCTGTCAGTGGTAAGCTGTGGTCTGGTAAGCCATGTGTTAGTGAAGAAACTGTAGCATCCATAGAAGGAAGCTTTGAAAAAAGTCCAAGAAAGTCATTAAGACGGGCATCTCTAGAGCTGCAGCTTTCAAAATCTACTGTGCATAAGAGACTGCAGACAAGACTTCACGTGAAAGGACACCAAACTCAAGCGCATCACATATGGTTATAAGAGGGTTGTCATGCATGATCGCTGCCAGTTCAATGAAAAGCTCAGCAATGACCACGATGCATTTGAGTAACTTAATGTTCTCTGATGAAGCAACATTCCACATTCGTAGCAAGGTCAACAGGTGTGATTGCCATATTTGGGGAACTGAAACTTCACAAGCGTCTGTTGAACATGAAGGAGATTCTCCCAAAG